TCAGACAGTTATAACATAATACGGTGTGGGGGCCGCTTACAGCATGCCAACATAGATCTGGAAGTAAAAATCCAATGTTGCTTCCCCCGTCACCACATAATCAGGCTAATTTTGTTACAAATACACAAATACGCCACTTTACATGGTGGGGTACAAGATACCCTCGCCGACCTAAGACTACAGTTCTTGCTTTCTCAAGGTTGCCAGACCGTAAAGTCCATAATCAAATCCTGTGTAATCTGCCTGTGTACGACGCTTGGGTGTGTCCTTACCCAGGACCTCCACCACTTCCTAAGGATTGAGTAGTCCACCTTTGTCCTTTTGAGACCACTGGTGTAGACTGCACAGGAGCTCTAACACTAACAGGCACCAAGGACAAAGTTCCAGTGAAGGCATACATCTGCCTATTCACCTGTGCCACAACAAGGGGAGAACATCTAGAAGTGACTCAAGGCATGAGTGCCGAGGCATTCATTCAGGCTTTCCACAGGTTTGTTGCCCATCGCCCCGGCCCCAAGTTGATGATCTCAGACAATGGATCTTCCGCACCATCCAGTATCGAATGTATATTCGAGAATGTATACTCCTATATTCACCATTAGCCCTTTTGACATTGACCTGTCTTGGTTGCAGGAGAAGCATGTCTGAGAGAGGTCTGGAACCACCCAGCAATTTAAACTGTCCTGAACCAACTTCCAGTGACACTGGAAGTTTATTCCCTCCAGGTGACAATGGTACATAGGCTTGTACGAGAGGAGGGTGGGTATCGTTAAACGCTGTCGTAGGAAGACCCTACTCCACCAAAAAATCGATCTCCAGGAGCTCCAAACGTTGTCACGGAAATTGAGTTTCTTGTCAATAACCGACCACTGATCGACCTATCTGACGACAACTTGAAACATGAGCCATTAAGTTCATCTCATTTGATGTTTGGGGGACTTCTAAGCCCTCTAGAATCTCCCACTGACGATGGACCAAAAGATCCTTCATGTGTCAGAGAGAATGACTTGGTGCAGTGCTTTAAACATCTGTCACGAGTAATAGGTTGGTGGAATGAGGTATGGACTCGAGAATACCTCACTGCTTTGAAGGAGTATCATTATGGGGCAAACAACCCTTACAACAAAATTAACATTAACTCTGGTGACATTGTTCTGGTGGACAGAGATGCCTCACGCCCAGAGTGGCCAATAGGACATATACTCTCTGTCCATCCAGACAACCAGGATATCTTGAGAATAGTGAAAGTAAAGTTTCGAGGCACCACTACTCTCAAAACCTTAGAGAATCTAGTTCCATTAGAGTTGGCAGGAAAAGAAGTCACTCAAAGTCTTCCAACACCTGCAACTCCAGTACGGGACATCCGTCCAGAGAGGACTGCCACACAACAGTGTAAGTTAAAAATATACCAGTATTGTAATTCTGAAAGAGAGGAATGAAGTTTTTGGTAGTCCTAATTATTGGACTACGACCCATGTTTCTACCCCCCCCCCCCACTTGGAATTATGTTGTAAGTTTTACCCACTATATCTGTATATCACATCAGATTCATTATATTGTATCCTACATCTTCTGGTGATGGCACCTTCTGGTCAGAGGTGCCTGACAGCTGGGTGGACAGCGCTTCGGATTCGTAGTCCTGTGGGTTCCGGATTCGATCCCCATTGGAGGTGGAGACAAATGGGCAAAAGGTTTCTTTCACTCTGATGCATCTGTTCCCTAGCAGTAAATAGGTACCTGGAAGTTAGACAGCTGCTACGGGCTGCTTCCCGGGGGTATGTAACAAAAAGGGGTGCCTGGTCGATTACCGCGCCGTGGGGACGCTAAGCCCAGAAATCGTCTCAAGATAGCCTCAAGAAGATACATGACCATTTGGTCATGTAGGCTCTTATGTATACCATAAGGGCCCATAGGCGCTTACGTGACCTGGTGCATGATTTCTCTAGAATCCAAAAGCTTCGAGAAGAATGTCTTAATTAAAAAACAATTAGAACTTTAATTGTCTTCTGGTGATGGATAATACAAATCTGTTACCGGGAATCAATTAGTACTGCAAATCCTACCAATTATCTTTAAATCCTATATCTAAATATATTATAATCATTATTTATCTCAATAATATGACTTGGCAATGAACTTACTCAATGAATATTACAGATAGGCCTCGTACCAGAAGTGGGAGGGGCCAGTGGGTAAGGGCAGAGCGCCCATGACAAGAGTGAGGGTGTCGTGAGGAGTTCCGTGTAGCTAGTATTCGTATACAGTGAGATGCCCATGTTGTTTTGTGGTGAAACTTGTGTCTGTCGATAGCAGATCTCCCAAAACTTCAATTTACTCCTATGTTTTAGAAAGCAGTGTAACTCCAATTAGTAACTATTTACTGCCGAGATTATGTACTTCAAGAACTAAGGGAAGTGCCATTTCAGTTAAATCTATTAGTTAAGATTATTTGGCCATTTATTCTGTAACGTGGATTAATCATTACATGGCATGAAAACTACAATCAAAGGGAAAGCCTCATTATTATTAACTATTTACATGTGTAACACCCTTACATCTATGTAGTCATCAGGTATTATGTAGTATGGTATCTTCAGGAAAATTGTTACCACATGATACTTACTAAGCTGGCCACACCAGAATGCCCAAACGCCATTAAACACTAGAGTTCACGTGTCCAGAGGTATCTGAGATGTGATGACCAGTCATCACTACCAACACAGCTGAGGGCATTTAATTGTTCTTTATATAGTTGTGTGATCTATAACTCAAAGTAATGATATCTACCGTTTGATTACGATAAGTTTAAAATAAGAACCTCCCCCCCCCCAAATGTGCAAGGGAAGTTTATTGGTAACAATAAATGATAAAATGCAGTCCACTTATAAGTAATAAGTCCAATATCTTAAAATAATAATCAAATAAGTCACCGGTAGGATTTCCCACATTTCATGTTAAACAAATTTGCTATCATTTTATGTCAGCATAGTTGACCTCCTTCCCGAATTTCGTATAATCGGCAAATTTACAAATATTGCTGCTCAAACCTGAATTTCCAAAGACGAAACCAAGGAAGCCGGCCACGATTACTTGGATACTTCAGTCGATGCCACCGCCTCTCCCACCCGTCATGCACCATCTGCCCCTCCAGATCCCGCACCGGCACCAACCGGACTGACAGGCTCCCATGCTGCCTCCTCCGGGTATATCCGACGTGATCGAGCACTTTCCAAGGAGGACAGACAGCATAACTCCATAATCCACAACGACAACTGGGAATACAAGTGCAGGGAAGCAGGACGGATCCTTCACTTCATCGTCCCTCAAGAACACCTTGACCACCTCTTCAACTACGACACCTTGAAAAAAGAAATTTGACCAGACTACCAATTTCGAGGAACTGGGATTAGGAAACCAATCCTCTTGTAACACCCAGATTTCTCCCCTTAGACCGGCCGATGGTGGCCAACCCACCAACAGCCCTGCTGACTCCTGTGGCACTTAACTGTGAGCGACGTGTGTACCAACGTCAATTCACAGGTCTGATCAGCCCTATGGTCTTGGATTGGATTGGCACGTCCACGGACCTCATCCCCTGATCTCCAGTGTCTGCTACAGATAAAGGCTCCAAAGAGCCCCCACTTATGGGCTCACCACATCATAGCCCGTGCTATTTGGGATTTTTTCTAGTAGCTAAATCTAATAACAACAAACAACAACCTTGTAAGTTTAGTGTACCTGTGTCAGTTTATCAGTGTATTCCTAAAGATGTCACATTACTGACTAAACGTCGAACAATAAAAACGGAAAGATTAAGTGATCTGGTGTTTCTTCACTTTTTAGATGGTAGAAGATATTTGTGTAGAATAGAAAATAGACAAAAGAAAATTAATACTAGTCATAATACTGTTGTACAATGCTATAAATGTTCCAGCTTTAATGCTGGATACGTCGGATGTTCCATTCGGAACTTTAAGATAAAGATACTAGAGCACCGGGGAGTATCATTTAGGACTGGCTTTCCATTATCCAAACCAGCATTTTCAGAGAATAGAAATCATTGAAATTAATGGATCATTTTTTGCTGGAGTCCGATTTTTAAATTTTGGACACATGTATGAGTGGTCAGTCGGATTTGAGAATAATGGAATCCTGATATATATCAGGGAACTGTGGCTGCTGCTAAATATTAACAGTTCAGCTGCTCAATTGTTCTCTGTATAATTCACTTTTGGCATTTTGTTTTCATTTATAGTTCATGTTGACGTCTTTGTTATTTACTTCTTGTTTCCCCCTGAGCTGTGTCTTTGATTCTCATTTCGAGTGTTCACATTTTACACTGTTATATTTTAATTAGGATATATATATATATATATATATATATATATATATATATATATATATATATATATATATATATATATATATATATATCTATATACATATATATATATATATATATATATATATATATATATATATATATATATATATATATATATATATATATATATATATATATATATATATATATATATATATATATATATGTGTGTGTGTGTGTGTGTGTGTGTATTGCAACTTTTGGTGACTTGAACCTGCGTTCTGGTGATTCCCGGACACCTGTTCGGGCCCCTGAACTGGAGCCCGAACTGGGTTTTACAGTCGACCGGACCACACTCTGGCAGGGTCGATCACAAATGGCGTTCACATTCTTTTGCGCCTCACCAGACAGCAATGAAATCACATTTGTGTGATATATCAATGAAAATCATTTTGAGGCAAAATAATTTTTCTAACCCAATTTCAGGGAGGCACTGGGTCAGCCCTTCTATGACAATCCCATAAAATTTCCGTCAATCCTGGAAACGTTAAATGAGGATAGCCAAAGAATCTGGCCTAAAGCCTCGAACAAGCAGACAGTTATATTCTGTTTTATGGATGTATATAAACCTTCTAACCCCCATTTCCACTAATACTAATTTCTCGCTCTTTTGCAGCCAAAGAAAGAGCATTCAAGGAGAGCAAAATGAGGTCTGGATTAGATAGTGATGATGATGATGATCATGGTTCAGGTGAGGCTCACGTGTCAATGTTAACACTTATGTCGTAAGGTGCTTCTGGTTATCACGGCCAGATGAAGCTTATGTCTCTATTCCATTCACCTGGGCTCTAGGAGACTCGAACCGTGGACCTCACACGTGTGAGGCTGAATTTCTATCGTCGGTTTGAATCTCCTAGAGCCCAGGTGAATGGAATGTTTATTTCTACTGAAGTGTGGATGACAGTTATTATATGTCTCTATGTTAGTATTCACCTAATTGTACTCACCTAATTGTGCTTGCGGGGGTTGAGCTTTGGCTCTTTGGTCCCGCCTCTCAACTGTCAATCAACTGGTGTACAGATTCCTGAGCCTACTGGGCTCTATCATATATACATTTGAAACTGTGTATGGAGTCAGCCTCCACCACATCACTTCCTAGTGCATTCCATTTATTAACTACTCTGACACTGAAAAAATTCTTTCTAACGTCTCTGGGACGTTAGTGCTTGTGTAGTAAGGTGCTTCAAGTTATCTTGACCAAGCTGAAGCTTCCGTGTCTATGTTAGTGCTTGTGTAGTAAGGTGCTTCAAGTTATCTTGACCAAGCTGAAGCTTCCGTGTCTATGTTAGTGCTTGTGTAGTAAGGTGCTTCAAGTTATCTTGACCAAGCTGAAGCTTCCGTGTCTATGTTAGTGCTTGTGTAGTAAGGTGCTTCAAGTTATCTTGACCAAGCTGAAGCTTCCGTGTCTATGTTAGTGCTTGTGTAGTAAGGTGCTTCAAGTTATCTTGACCAAGCTGAAGCTTCCGTGTCTATGTTAGTGCTTGTGTAGTAAGGTGCTTCAAGTTATCTTGACCAAGCTGAAGCTTCCGTGTCTATGTTAGTGCTTGTGTAGTAAGGTGCTTCAAGTTATCTTGACCAAGCTGAAGCTTCCGTGTCTATGTTAGTGCTTGTGTAGTAAGGTGCTTCAAGTTATCTTGACCAAGCTGAAGCTTCCGTGTCTATGTTAGTGCTTGTGTAGTAAGGTGCTTCAAGTTATCTTGACCAAGCTGAAGCTTCCGTGTCTATGTTAGTGCTTGTGTAGTAAGGTGCTTCAAGTTATCTTGACCAAGCTGAAGCTTCCGTGTCTATGTTAGTGCTTGTGTAGTAAGGTGCTTCAAGTTATCTTGACCAAGCTGAAGCTTCCGTGTCTATGTTAGTGCTTGTGTAGTAAGGTGCTTCAAGTTATCTTGACCAAGCTGAAGCTTCCGTGTCTATGTTAGTGCTTGTGTAGTAAGGTGCTTCAAGTTATCTTGACCAAGCTGAAGCTTCCGTGTCTATGTTAGTGCTTGTGTAGTAAGGTGCTTCAAGTTATCTTGACCAAGCTGAAGCTTCCGTGTCTATGTTAGTGCTTGTGTAGTAAGGTGCTTCAAGTTATCTTGACCAAGCTGAAGCTTCCGTGTCTATGTTAGTGCTTGTGTAGTAAGGTGCTTCAAGTTATCTTGACCAAGCTGAAGCTTCCGTGTCTATGTTAGTGCTTGTGTAGTAAGGTGCTTCAAGTTATCTTGACCAAGCTGAAGCTTCCGTGTCTATGTTAGTGCTTGTGTAGTAAGGTGCTTCAAGTTATCTTGACCAAGCTGAAGCTTCCGTGTCTATGTTAGTGCTTGTGTAGTAAGGTGCTTCAAGTTATCTTGACCAAGCTGAAGCTTCCGTGTCTATGTTAGTGCTTGTGTAGTGAGGTGCTTCAAGTTATCTTGATCAAGCTGAAGCTTCCGTGTCTATGTTAGTGCTTGTGTAGTAAGGTGCTTCAAGTTATCTTGACCAAGCTGAAGCTTCCGTGTCTATGTTAGTGCTTGTGTAGTAAGGTGTTTAGGAGATCATGACAGGTTAATCAGACGTCTCTCTTTCAGAGTAATAAGTAATAATTAATAATAAGTAGTAAGTAAATAATAAGTAATAAGCAATAAGGTGCTTCGGATGATCATGGCCTTGTGTATTATTTTTATACCTAATATACTCAAATCTTCGACTACACAACCTGTATTATGTATACTTAATGTTACAAATTAAGCTAAAAGATTTTAGCTGCTTATGTAAGAGTGGCGGTGTCCTCCTCTGATGCTAGACTAGTGTAATGGGGAATATTTAGAGTCCTCAATATCGTAAACTGCTATCACACATGTTTCCAGCCCCCTATCCCAGACTCCCCTGCACTCTCCAATCAAAGACCTCCATCCCCCCCCCTTCTACATGTCCCTACTCCTCCCCCATCCCAAGCTCTAATTGACCCCAACCCCAGATCCTCTCGGCTACACCACCTCAGACCCTCCTAGGTTCCCCATACCAAATCCTCCCAGACCCTTTACTCCAAACCCCCCATGTCCTCCCCCATAGGCCCTCCCACACCAGACACCCCCTCGCCCCCTATCCCAGTGGAATCAACAGAAAATGAGGATGGAATGAAGAGGGTCAGTTTCAAGATAACGTACTCGAACATAAATGGGATTACAAGCAAGGCAAGTGACTTAAGGAAAGAGCTCAAGAAGAGGAAACCCGGATGTCTCACGGAAATAAAACTATCAGGAATCATAATGACTGCGGTGTTTCCCAAGGACTACACTGTAATAAGGAGAGAGAGGGAAGGAATGGGAGGAGGCAGAGTGGCCCTACTGATAAGAAAGGAATGGAACTTGAAGGAGATGGTTATCCCAAGCTACGAGGGGTTCAGAGACTACATTACAGGCACCATGAAAATGGCAGGACCGAGAGTTATAGTAACAGAGATATATCATCCTCCACCAAAGAACAGAAGACCCAGGGAAGAGTATGGCAGAAACAACATGGCAGTCAACACTATAATTGAGAAAGTAGTCATTGTTACCTGGAGAAACAGATCCCACCTGCTCGTCATGGGGGACTTCAATCATGGAAAGCTAGACTGGGAAAACAAGGAACCACACAGAGGTGAGGAAACATGGAGAGCGAAACTGTTGGAAGTGGCAACAAGGAACCTTTTAAGTCAGCATGTCAGGGAACCCACTAGCATGAGAGGCAACGATGAACCTGCGAGACTCGGCCTAGTCTTCACTCTGAACGACTCTGACATAAGGGAAATCGGTTTTGAAGCCCTTGTTGGAATGAGCGATCACAGCGTACTGATGTTTGAGCATCTGGTCGAAGAAGGGTTTAATATACTCAAGGAAGGGCCCAGAAAACAAAAGGTTGGAAATTCTGAAAGGGAAAATATGAGGAGATAAGGGAATTCCTAACAGATATAACTTGGGAAACAGAGCTCAGAGCAAAAATGGTCCAAGGCATGATGGAGTACATCACAAAGAAGTGTAAGGAGGCAGCAGACAAGTTTGTCCCAGTCCAAAAAGAAAGAAATGAAATGCAGACAAGAATGCCATAGTTTAATCAAAGATGTAAGCTAACAAAGCATATAAGTAAACGAGCGAGGAGAATCTACAGAAATAATAGGACACTAGTGAGCTGAGAAAGATACCAGAGCGCCAGGACTGAATACGTCAGGTTAAGGAAGAGAGGCAGAGAGATAATATGAAAATGACATAGCAAGCAAGGCAACGACTCAACCTAAATTGATGCATAACCACATCAGGAGAAAAACATCAGTGAAGGAACAGGTAATGAAACTGAGGATAGGAGCAGAGATTTTTTTCTACGCCTACCTCCCTTAGGAGGTGGACCTCAAGTTTAAAGAACTGCACACGGCAGATAAGCATGAGTCCAATAGAAAAAGGAAAAGCGGGAGCAAACCGCCAGGCTTCCACCACTAGGGTGAAAACCTGTCCACATAGGCCGCTGGTTCCTCCTAGTTAAACAGGACGTTAAAACAAATAAAGGGTAACCGACGGGTTCTCACAATCAAATATTTATATTTGATGTGGTGCTATGAATTGGAATTCGAATTCCCAAGAACAGCCGTCATTAACAAAAGATCACATCAACATTCAATCGTATAAAGCAGAACATGGGTGGAAAAGAATGGTTGAAGGGTTGACATCAAAGACCGTTTTCTATAAAATAAATAATTTATTAACAACAAGAGACTAAACTACTACAACATCGAGTTTACATTACGTTAATGTCCATCCAGTGGCACTATAACAAACAGCTAAAATAGCAATGACTCCAACCCTTGCTGTGCGGCTGCATACTGAACTAACCTGAACACAGGTGTGCCCACTGACGACGCAATATTGCAAACCAAAAAAATTCACAGACTAAGTTACACCACAGAGAGTGATTCGTTACGTTATTGTCTATCCAGTGGCACTTGCAACACAGCTATTCAAGCCCCTCAGACAGCAGTCTCCATCTTGCTGACACTTCGGGCTGATTACATGAACTAACTGAACAATGATGCCCACTGATGACACAAGCTTGCAATCAATATTGTCACGGCTTCACGGTGAACAGATACTATAATCACAATCTTACGGGTCCTCCAACCCTACAGGAGAGACCCACGTAACTAGGCGGGTAGTCCAACAGTGACCCCCCCTATCACAACCTAATGTGAACACTCTTTGCAACTCCCTGCAAGAAGTTGCACTGTAAACAGTAAACAAAGCCAGGCAAGGTGGGATTCTGAGACACAGCTCCAGTAATCCCTAAGTTACTTTACTCTCGTCACCAGACGATAAACAAAAGAAATTGCCTTAATCAATTACAAAATTGATTATGTGATTAATTACGTTAATTGACTGATCACAGCAGTCAGCAACAAAGTACTACGTTAATCACAAACACTTGTCTCTCTTAGACAACAACATGATGGTACTCTACGTTAATCATTAACACTTGTCTCTCTTAACACAAGTCATCTTGTTAACAATAACTCAAAGTCTCTTACATTACATCACACTTGACTCCTTGCAAGTATTCAGTGAGTAATTCCTAATTAATGTCAAACGGACAACTAATTAAATCCCCATCGAGTTACGTTAACTAAGCCTACCACTAACTTGGTAGCTTCTCAACAGTCTATGTCAAAATTTACTTTAATGAGTGTTAATTACCCTAATTAACCCCGAGCAATTAATT